ACTATTCTATTTTTTATCCACTTTAATTTAAATTTAATTAATTAATTAATTAATTTAATTAAAAAACTCCAAAAAGACAGCCTGGATGTCAGTCCATTTAATCCATAGGACTACATTTTATTTCATTTGATTTTACTTTACTTTATTTTAAAATGTATATTTATTTTATTTAAATTAATAGAATAATAGAATAGAATCGTTTTAATACTAAACATAAGCGTGTCCTGAGACGGTCTCACTTCAGATGCTCTCAGTGTGAAAACACCCTGATCTTGAGTGTCAAACGATGAGAATGAGTTCACGCGGGTATTGAGCTCTGGTTTGTCTTCCGTTAGTCTCCCCACAACATTTGCCACTGTTGATATGGACGGGTCTCGAAAACTTATCTTTGCTCTGCCAGGTAGGGACGGTGAGAGAGTTTATTGGTGTATTTTTTCAAAACACATACTAGTCTGTAATTTCAACACATAGATTTGGCTATTTTTTCATGTATTAGTGAATGATCTGTGCGTTTGTGGCTCTCTGGTGATTCACAGGTAATCCTGTGTCAGCGGTCGTAACGTGTAACCTCTTCGTCATTCCTGCCTTGAGGAAGATGCAGGGAATCTTAGACCCACGACCCACCATAATAAAAGCCAGGGTAAGACCACCTTCAACCTTACATAGAATAAGGACCTTTATATATAGAGCACTTCAAAAATTTGGGATCAGTAGGATTCTTCTGCTCACGAGGCTGCATTTTATTTAATACAAAATACAGTAAAAAACATAATATTGTGAAATATTATTACAATTTTAAAAAACTGTATTCTATTGTAATATATAGTAAAATGTAATTTATTCCTGTGATGCAAAGCTGTATTTTCAGCATCATTACTCCAGTCTTCAGTGTCACATGATTCTTCAGAAATCATTCTAATATGCTGATATGCTGCCCAAAAAAAATATTTCTGATTATTGTCAATGTTGAAAACAGTTGTGCTGCCAAAATTGTCTGTGAAAGCTGTGATACATTTTATTTTCCAGGATTCTTTGTTGGATAGAAAGTTGAAAAGAGCAGCATTTATTAGAAATATAAATTTTTTCTGTTTCTTTTACTGTTTTTTTTGTTCAACTGAATGCATCCTTGCTGGATAAAAGTATTCATTTAAAAAATAAAAGAATATGCCAATGCATGAACTTCAAAACATTAATTGCAAAACATTCAAATCTATCGACTGCCTTAATAACGACATCTAAATTGTGCTTAATTGTTTCCAGTTGTCATGTGATGTGAAGCTGGATCCCCGACCGGAGTATCACCGCTGTATTTTGACATGGCACCATCAGGAACCTCTGCCATGGGCACAGAGCACAGGTCACACATTATATTAATATTATTATTATTACAGAAGTCTTGCAGAACTGACCTGCATTGTTTTGCCTATACATTGCTAGTAAATCACATGCATATGCGACAAAATTGCGTTAGGCAACTGAATGTTTGTCACTAGCCATTGGCTAATAAATTGTTCAATTTCACTTTTTAATTTTAGTACAGATATATTTTTTACTTTGTTTTGTGTGCTATGACCACTTTAGTGCGCCTAAACTTTCTGAGTGAGCATTTGACAGGAAACAATATATTAGCTCGTTTATGAGTGTGTAAAAAGAGCCATGTTGCATGCCATGTTGATGCACTACATGTAAATTATATTCTTTCTTGATTTTTTCCTTTCAGAATGACAGTGTTTGTTTAGAATCATTCTTTGTTTTAGACTTTTTGAACAATTGTGCAAGTGCCATCCCAATGCTAGAGTTTACCAATCACCTTTGGTTTCAGAAAATCAGCTTTAGTTTTTTATTATATTAGTTTTTATGAATATTTTGAATTACTTTTTATTTTTTGTTTTCATTTTAATTTTATATAAAATTTTAGTAATTTTGTTGTGTGTTTTTGTCATTTTTAGCAGTTTTGGGGTTTTTTTTTATGTTAATGTAGTTTTTATGTTTATTTCAATTTTAGTTATTTTTGTACATCAAGTTAAATTAAAAAGTAGAAATGGTATAGCAACTAAGTTTAAGGGTTTTTAATATTTTATTTTATTTCCGTTACAGTTTAAAGTATTTCAAGTTACAAAAATGATGTTTATGGTTTTAATTTAAACTATACGCTCTAAAAAATGCTGGGTTAAATATAACCCAGCGCTGGGTTGAAAAAAAAAGGGACAAACCCAGCTCTATTGGGTTGTTTTGAACCCAACCGCTGGGTCAAAACAACCCAATAGCTGGGTTTGTCCCTTTTTAACCCAGCACTGGGTTATATTTAACCCAGCATTTTTTAGAGTGTAGTAACCCTAATCCATATATTTTCATGCATGGTTGCCATGTTTTAATTGTTAATTACTAAATTTCTATCACAAAAAATGCTTGATTGTCTGTTGTTTCAAAAATGTACTGTATATTACACTCTAAAAAATGCTGGGCTGTTTCAACACAACTTTGGGTCAAATATGGACTAACCCAACTTTTGGGTTAAAATTTTAATTTAAAAATGTAACCCAACAGCTGGGTTAGTCCATATTTGACCCAAAGTTGTGTTGAAACAACCAAGCATTTTTTAGAGTGCATATAAAATATCTGTCATTTTGTGAAGAGAAGCTGATTTGATTTAGGATATATTTTTAAAAGAAATGTATAAAATAATATAAAAATATATTATTAATTTATTGCTGTTTAAATGTATAATTTATTAGTGTATATATGTCCTAATGCCAATGAGTGCGTAGAGGGATGTTATACTCTCTTATTTTCTCTTATTGTGGATATAGCAAGATGCACGTTGGTTCCTGTGACATTAGTGGTTTCTGGTTTAATATATATGTGACCCTGGAGCACAAAAGCAGTATTAAGTCGCTGGGGTATATTTGTAGCAATAGCCAACAATACATTATATGGGTCAAAATGATCGATTTTTCTTTTATGCCAAAAATCATTAGGATATTAAGTAAAGATCATGTTCCATGACGATATTTTTTTTAATTTCCTACTGTAAATATATTAAAACTTAATTTTTATTAGTAATATGCATTGCTAAGAACTTGGACATTTGGACGACTTTAAATGCGATTTTCTCAATATTTTGATTTTTTTTTTGCACCCTCAGAGTCCAGATTTTCAAATAGTTGTATCTCAGCCAAATATTGTCCTATACATCAATGGAAAGCTTATTTATTCAGCTTTCAGATGATGTATAAATCTCAATTTCAAAAAATTGACCCTTATGACTGGTTTTGTGGTCCAGACTCCAGGCAGGGTCCCATATTTTCAAGCTTTTCTCCGTCTCGTCTTCCTCCAGGGAACCAGGTTAGCAGCAGACTCATGAGCATGCGCAGCGCTAACGGACTCCTGATGCTACCTCCCAAAACCGAGCAATACGTGGAGCTGCACAAGGGCGAGGTGGTGGACGTCATGGTCATCGGCCGTCTATGATGTCACGGCAGCGGGCCGACGGGCGGAGAGCGACGGGTGGTTCACGGTGCATGTTCACATATCATTGACTGTAATATGCAACGGCACAGCTAGTTTTTATTGATTTGGATAACACTGAAGTATAGTCAACATCTTGATCACAAAACTAGATGCATATGAGAAAAAAAAAAATATTTCAAAGAAAGAAAAATATACTTTTAAATTATAAAATCTAATTATAAAAAGAGATTTATTCTGTATTATTATTAATTATTATTGCATTTTTCTTCTCATTATTATTAATTATTGTTATTATTATATTAAGGCAACTTTGTTCTTTTCATTGCAGTTGCTTTGTGTGTTCAATGCTAGATCTTATAGCTGTAGCATTTTAATAGAAACTGAAGGTGCCTGCCAGGAGAGAGAGAGAAAAAAAAGATGAAGAACATTGTTTCCCCGTCTTAACGCAAAAATAACTGAAAAACGAGCGCTTTTGTTTTCGGACGCGGGGAAGGAATTCGACAACTTGAAATCTGGACTCTGGAGGGTGGCACTTTTTGTCTTTTTGTTTCCTCCCATTAGTACGCATCATTATGACATCACAAAGAGCTTTGCTTGTTGTTTATATCTCCTGAGTCTTGTTTGTGTGCGCAGTGCCAAACGCGTGGGTGCACAAAGGTCGTGCGCGGGGGAACACGGACCTGGTCACCCAATCCCTGAAGCTTCCTTATAATCACATGACCTGGTGTAGCCCCGCCCCCGTCCCCCTAGGGGGCGGAGTCACAGGTGAACGTTTTATTTGAATATACTTTAAAAAAGACGAGGAAAAAAAGAAACCACAGCTTATTTAAGTGCTGACTGCCTTTTTAATCAACTACACAAAAATGTACAGTAAAAAAACGAACAATTGAATTGTACAGATAAATGTGACCAGCACTCCTGCGGAATATGACCAAGCAATGAGGAGACATTGAACAAATCTGTATAATAACATTTTCTGTAACGATAAGAACCTAATATATATATATACACACATACACACACTTTTTATTATTAACCTAATATGAATATATTGATCATTTTTTAATGTATATATTACAAAAATATATATATAAATGTGTGTGTGTGTGTGTGTGTGTGTCTTAATTTTAATGTAAACTTTATAATTATATCAATATATTATAATACAACAAAATATAAATTTACAGTTTATAGTAATATATATGATTCATATATATCATATATGTATCATATTATTATAATATTACTAACATACTGTACATCATGTTATCTCAGTTTTATTTTAGATAATTTATCTGACTTTATTACTCCAAAGAATATGAGATTTATTAACAAACTTGATTTATATACAAATTTGTAGCCTGTATAGTTTGTGAAATATGAATAAAAATGAAGAGGGTGAATTATATGTTTAGTTGTAGAAACTATCAGGCGGTCAGATGTTGGTCAGACTCGTGGTCTGTCGGGTTTAGAGCAGATTACTGAACTCATGAAGTCACCACTCATCCACATTTAGCCTCAGACGCCTGAGCTGTGGACACTCACACGTCCACTGGACCTGAGTGAAAACACCACTGGAATCACTGCTTTCTTCACCATCGGCGGCTGAGAGAGACCTGCCACTCCATGCACACAGTGAGTAATGGCTTTATCAGGATAGAGTCAGTAGTTTTGTTTGTATTTATAGTCATTGACTCTGTTATGGTTGCTTTGCTTTTAGTTGATGTTGGGCTGCTGTATGTTAGTGTTTGGTCACAGAAAGGTCAAAGGTTCGAACCCCACAAGGGTTGATACATTAACTGTCCACACTGTGTTCATCTGTCAGCTTTGCATTAAAAATGCATTGAAATTGAAGTGAGATTAAGCTGTGCATGAGCATCAGTGCAGGTCAGGAAGGACTAGAGGAAAACGTGCGAGAGCTTAATAAGTTTATCTACATTAGTGGCTCTTAAAAGGTCTCAGGGGTCAATTACTGCTGTATTTATCGAAACTGTTACGGGTGGTTTAATAACCGCATGCTATGAAGTGAAAAGCTAAAATGAGCTGATCAGAATTCAATATTTCACTCAATCCCTCACATAAAATTAGCGATTGTACCTTAAGTTTCTGTCAAAATACCATAGTTACTCACAGAAACTTGCTTTCTGTCATTTCATTTTTTAAATATTTATTATGACAGTGATGCTAATATCATGTTTGGACAGTTTTATAAACAATTCTCAATAGAAATGGCAAGTAACGTTTTATTAAATATGACATTTAAAGGCAAGAAAAACTGAAATAGTAGCTATATACTCAAATAATCATCGTTTTATTTATAAAATTGAAAAATCATTTTTTTACAGTGTAAACAGTGGCATTTTGTTCATGTTTGTAAGGCATGGTTGGTAAGGTTGAAGTTATTTATAGGTTACTCTATTTGTAGATCAACTGTCCGTTAATTAGATGTGAAATAGTAAGAGATAATCTGTTAGTATTAATTTAGATATTGTGTTTTATGGGAGATATGAACAAAACAGATGTCTATTCAGCTTGTCTAAATCCTCTTGAATGTTTAAGGAATTAATTTCTTTCCCTGAAACCTGCTTGTAGCTCGATTTATGTGAGTCTGCAGGTCCTAGTGATTGTGTGTGTGTGTGTGTGTGTGTGTGTGTGTGATTCTGAAGTTAGAGTTAACTAATCTCAGATAAACAGATGGTCGTCTTTCACTGCCACCTGTTACTAAACAGAGCTGAACGTCTGCGTGCGCGACTGCTGAAATCTGATTGGTTCCTTCAGAGGAAGTAGATTTAGCTAAAATATTGACATTTTGAAAAGTACTCTTTTTTTTTTAGCATTATTTTTTCAGCTCCATTTAGGAGCGCAAATAATTATACACTGCACTTTTAAAGGGCTCAAATATTGAAAAATCCAATTTTCTTGATCTTTTGAGATAAAAAAAGTTCATTGTATTTCTGATGTGAGAAAACCAAAAACCTCATCAGTGACCGCTCATTGGTTTTGATGACAACCATGTAAAGGTATCCAGCACTCCTGCGGAATATGACCAAGCAATGAGGAGACATTGAACAAATCTGTATAATAACATTTTCTGTAACGATAAGAACCTAATGAGAGAGAATACAATAATAAAATCCATGATCATTATATAAAAATAGCATTGTGGAATTTTCTTGTAATAAAATGAATAAAAACATAATTCCTTAATGTGTGTGATTTCTTTTTTTTTGTACATTTTATGTTGTGCTGATTGACCATTGCATGCAGATTCTCTGCAAATTTCAGATATTATTAGTCTGGAATCAAATCTGGAGATAAACGTCATTTTTCACACAGTAACTTTGGTAATTGTGTTCAATGGCTGAGATTGATGGATATTAACAATTTGGGGAAACAGTTGTTATAGAAATAAGATTTTTTTTTATATTTACTTATTAAATAATATTAAATATAAAATATATTTTTAAACCATATATATATATATATATATATATATATATATATATACACACATACACTGTGTGTGTGATTCTGAAGTTAGAGTTAACTAATCTCAGATAAACAGATGGTCGTCTTTCACTGCCACCTGTTACTAAACAGAGCTGAACGTCTGCGTGCGCGACTGCTGAAATCTGATTGGTTCCTTCAGAGGAAGTAGATTTAGCTAAAATATTGACATTTTGAAAAGTACTCTTTTTTTTTTAGCATTATTTTTTCAGCTCCATTTAGGAGCGCAAATAATTATACACTGCACTTTTAAAGGGCTCAAATATTGAAAAATCCAATTTTCTTGATCTTTTGAGATAAAAAAAGTTCATTGTATTTCTGATGTGAGAAAACCAAAAACCTCATCAGTGACCGCTCATTGGTTTTGATGACAACCATGTAAAGGTATTTCATAATTAAATATGAAAATTGCATACAAATTACAGCATTTGTAGAAAGTGGCTTCTGTTTTGTTGGCATTTGTTTCAGGGAATCAGGAAATCATAACTGCATCAATGTCTCCTGCTCTCAACTCTTGTAGTTTATTGTAGTTTACTGTATCGACCTTCACTATAAAACAGCCATGTTAACGTTACACATGAACGGTGACATGACGGAGGACTCGGGTGAGATGGACACGGGACAGTCCTGCCAAACTCATCGCTCAGTGCTGCAGTGAGCAGACCGAGAAGATCCGGGATGATCCAGAGGAAGTGATGATGATGAAGGAGAAGGAAGAGGCTCGTGAACTGACTCAGGACACCGATCTGAACTTTTCCTCGTGTCTCACATCGGCACAGAGCAGCACTGAGGCCATTTTTGATGGGATGGATGTTGCAGAGGAAGCCAAGTCAACATCAGAGGAGAGGAATACAACAGGTGAGAGACAATTCAATGATGGACAGCCTGAAAAAGCATCACGTTTCGGGGTTTTGATTAGTATAAAATAGCTGATACCACAATAATAAGCTGAAAGAAGAAAGAAATTAAAACTTTTACTAAGCAAGGATGCATTAAATTGATCAAAAATGACATTAAAGACATTTATAATGTTACATAAGATTTCAGTTTCAAGTAGCCAGCACAACTGTTTCAACATAATATCAGCATATTAGAATGATATCAGTAATGATGCTGAAAATTCAGCTTTGATCACAGCAATCAATTACATTTTAAAATATATTCAGATAGAAAACAGTTATTTCAAATTGTAATATTTCAGAATATTACTGTTTTTAATGTATTTTTGCACGTTTAATATCAACATTTTAAAAATTGTGACTACGCCGCTTAAATTAAACAGCAGTGATGAGTTCACCTCTGCACTCGTGAAGAGAAGACTCTTAACCTCAGGTTCCTCGGGTTCCTCAGGAGGATTGTCCCTGTAAGAAGTGCACTTGTATCTCTTAACAAGATCATGTTTACTAGTGACAGATGTTGATATTTCACTTCACAATGTGGGCTTAAAGTGCAAATTGTGCAATGTTTGGGGCAAAAACAATGGTATAACATGCAAATACTGTGGTACATTAAAAAGCCTTAAAGGTGAAGTGTGCAATTTTTGATATGAATAGAATAGTTTGCATAATTGTTTACAAATATATACTCATTCTTGTGTCATTGCAAATCCATAAGTTGCTATTGTTTTAGTAGTAGATCTAGTTTTCCAGTAAAGTTGTCTTTACTCAGGTAGTTCAAGCTGGATTAGAGACTTTAAAGAACCATTTGAAGTTTTACAAATTATTATTTAGTAATCAGACATGACTGGAAAAGTCATTTGTTAAAAAGTACATGGAAACCATGTCACACATCCAAAAAAAACAATGGTACTTTTTTGTTGTATAATCATCATTGTAAAAAATTATATGATGTTTTCCATTACTTTGACTCATCAAAATAATTTAACCAATTGTAACTTCATTTGTAAGTTAAATCAGATTCAACTAAGATTTTTTTTTAATATTAATTGAAATTACTTGTATGTCCAATTTGATGATACTTAAACATTTAAGGCATGCAGCTTTTAAATCAGATGGATTTTTTTATAATGTAGCACTAATGTTTCTCTCTTGGTGTTGTCAGAGCTGGAGGACTTGCTGGACTCTCTGCAGCATCTGCAGCTGTGTCTGACGGATGCTGAGAGTCAGCAGGACGTTCGGCTGCTGCTGGAGCTGCTGCTGCAGTCAGACTTCCAGCAGGCGTTCATCATGCACCGCAGCGTGGCTCAGAGCACGAGACACCTCCGTCCGCCGTTCCCGCTCACCGCAAACGCACAGCAGCTCAGAGACGAGGTACAGCTCTCAACACATTACCAGACCAACGTTCAGATTCAGCTGCATAACTGACATGCTCAGAGTCAGAGCGGAATAACACTTACAGAAGCCCAGCTAACGAAAATATGTTCTAAGAACGTTTGCTAACGTTCTTATTTAGTTACGAAAACATTATTTCTGAAAGTTCTCTGAACATTCAAAACATGAATTTTTTTAAACGTTTTAAAAAAAAATTTTTGTTG